AAAAAGGTCCTTACCTGAGGATAGCTTTTATATTTGTTAGAACTTTGTAGGAAGTTCATAGTAGTCTATCTTTCTATCTATCAAATTTCATTTTCTTACACAATCTCCTGAAGTTTGACTCCAACTTGATTTTCCAATGTTATTGTTCACTATTCTCTGCTTTAGTATAAATGATCTTCTTGCTTTTCCAGAATACATAAAAATCTCTTATTTTTCATACCCTCTCACTCTTCCTTTTCTATTTAGGAATGACCTTTCTTCTGCCTGTTGAATTCTTGAATACATTGATTTAATTCCACTTAATGGTTTCTAAAGCCTACAAGATAAATTGAAAATGCTACAGCATTTAAAAAATCATTTTGCCAATTACTCTTAAAGTTGTATTTTATTCAGCTTTCAAAGATGTTTTACATGGATCCCTCGAAATATGCTTCTACAAATAAATACACATGTATGTGTACAATATACATATATAGTATTTTACTTTCATTAATTTCATATGTTCACAGTGATAATTTTTACTTTTATGAAGTCAATCAATAAGAAAACCAATGAAGACTGAATTTGAAATTAATGATTAAGAATGGCAGATAAAATCTGATCTGACACTAGTTTTTAATACATTAGTACTTCTTCATTAAATTAAGTTTAGAAAGTACTATATATTTATACATATAGTTTTAAATTATAGATTTTTATGATTCATTTTGCATTTTCATACAAATTTACCAATAAATAAGGATGTGGAAAGAACTTATCCTAATAGCTATGAGGAAATGAATGAGGAGAAGTTACTCATGGACTTCATTGTGTTCAAATTTATTATATAACATATTTCAGTTCATATTTTTATTATTTATTTATTTATTTATTTATTTTTTGTTTGTTTTTGTGGTGCTGGAATTGAACCCAGGGGCCAGCATATGCTAGGAAAGTGCTCTATCTCTGAATTATATACCCTGTCTTTTGAGTCCATTTTTTAAAGTAAAAAAAAAAAAAATTAGTATAGACTTAGACTTATAGAAAATTATAAAGATAATACAGGACTGCCATATGCCCTACAATTTACCCATTATTAACATCTTACATTGAGTTACAATTAATGATGTTTCATGAGTTATAATTAATGAATCAATTTTGATATATTAACATTAGCTGAAGTTCATATTGCATTCAGATTTCCTTGGGTTCTCTCTCTCTCTCTCTCTCTCTCTCTCTCTCTCTCTCTGTGTGTGTTCAAATTAAGAATAGATAAACTGTGTGAATGACATTTGAAGAGAATAGTAGAATTATCAAAATACCTCTATAGATAATACCTAAATTTCTGTGAAATATAACAAAATCAGTGATTTTTCTGTTTTGATCTCATGGGTCCTGCCTGTCACCCTAAGTTACTCTTCCTTTTTCAAATTATGTTTCTCAATAAAGAATTACTTTGTTTTTAATTCCCCAAATAAATTACACTGTTTAATGCCTCTGCCTGCCTGTATTAGCTCTCTGCTTGGATGGTCTCTTTCTCTCTGTCCAGCTAGTGAATTTTGATGAATCCCCTAAATCCTAGGCTAAGAGGCATCTATTCTGTGGTCCTGTTTCTAAAGCTGCTGATAATCAGTCTATAAGATTTTAATTTCAACTTCTTTTGTGCAACTAAATACTCAAATTTCCATTGTATTTTGTTTGAGGTATAACTTAGTTTCCTGTTTGACTAAGTTTAATACAAGTTCTGTTTCCTGTAGATACGACATATAGATTTTGAGAAATGTACCCATATTAACTGAAGGGATAGAATATAAAATTTAATAGACCAAAGTATTGAAATTTGTATATACATGTATATGAATATAGAACCTCTCTCTTTTTTAAAAAATGTGCATATATATTTCTTTCTATGAAGTCAGTAGAAATGAACTAAATTTAACCATTTCTATTAAGATTTAGGTGATTATTTTAAGACTTATAATTTAATATTACAATTAGCATTCCAATGAGAAATATTGATTCAGTAAAATAATACTAATAACAATATTTTGTGTATTCCATATAATTATTTAGCACTTTGATCATAACAGATGGTATTAATGTCTAAATTTTTCAGTGCTGTTTCTATTCACATTTTCTCATTTTGGTTTAAGTTGGTGATAGTTACTATTCTTTAATATTTCTATCAGAAGAGAAAAGAAAAAGAGAATATCAGTCAGGTTTAATTTTGTCCATTTGATTTTGACTTCTTATAAAGAATAATTACAGAATTCCAGGTGAGGATTTTTTTGTAAGACTAATAACCTTCCTGAATCTTTCTTCACTTTGGATAATTAGAACATGCTAGAGTTGTTATATAAGAAGTTAAAATAATAAATCCAGTTTATATATTACTTTCAATTGAAATTTTAACCCTCTAACTTGTGACTATCTAGGTGAGAATATACTGGAAATAGAACAAGCTTTTGAAATGTGTTGATAATTATTATTTTTCATTATAGCAGGGATCATTGACATTTATGTAGCGTCTAACATTTATTGGTTTCCTATTCATCATCTCATTTAATCCTGACAGAAATCCATTTCTATTGAAACTAAAAACATTATCTCTATTTATAGTTGAGGAATTTGATAGAGTGATTAGGGAGCTTAAATAAGATTATATAATCATTCATGTTGCAGAAGAGACCACAAACTCGAATCTCAAAGGAACTCTGAAATAGCATTTTCTTACAAACAAGTTCAGTTTTATTATATGAGCACTTAATATTTTCCAGGTTACATATTGCATTTGGGGTCCACTGATACAAAAAAATGCACCTTTTAATAAATAGTCAAATTAGAAAAAAAAGATAAAGAAAAATAATTTCACTTTTTTATCTTTTTTCCCTTTCTCTCAGTGTTTGACTAGAAAAGAAGATGAAAATAAAACAAAACAGGTTTTTGGAAGCATGAATTATAAAGGAAAGTTTGATACAGATTGCTATGAGGAATAGATTGAATCTGATAGCAACAGAGTTAGCAAGATAGAGAGGATGGCGCCATTCTTAATAGCCAAGATATGGAATTGGTGTAGGTTTCTGTTAAGGGATGAATGGATAAAAAAACTGATTCATGGACAAAGTGGAATATTATGCTTCCATGAAATAGAATGGAATCATTTTATGTGCAGTAATATGGATGGAACTAGATGACATTTTGTTAAATAAGTCAGGTACAAAGGCAAGTACTACATAATATAAAAGCTACATAAATTTACTTTATAGATGTAGAGAATAGAATAGTGGTTACAAGAGACTGGAAAGAGTAAGATAAGAAGATGTTAGTAATAACTAGAAGAAAGAAATATGTAGGTTTCCAACACAAAGCGATGATTAATGTTTGATATTCTGCTTATGCTAATGACTCTAATTTGATCATAATATTGTATACATGTATCAAAATAACACAATGTACTACATAAACATTTAGAATTATTATGTATCAATTTAAAACGATAAAAAGAAAAGATAGTGAAAATGGAATAGGTTTGCCATATAATTGGCAAGAATTTTAATAGCTAAGCAATTATAAATTATGAGTAAAAGTAAGTAATCAAAGAAAGCTGCTTAAATTACTCTTCCCCAAAACAGGAATTGATACTAGTTTAAAGTGAAATAAGGATTCCTATAAGGAGTATCATGTTATATTTTTATCAGCACAAACTTCCTTTCTTACCACTGCTCTCCATTCTCAGTGGCTACATCTTCACCAAAATTCAAGCCTTGATTTCTCCACCTATATTTTCTTTCTCTGAGCAAATATTACAAGTCAGAGGCAGGTATCTGATTCATCAGAAGAGGGAAAGTTTTCAGGAATAGTGTGCAGAAGTAGAATTCTGATGTTAGTAAATACAGGGGGAAATGAACAGATCACCAGCAGCTAATGAAGAGTTGGACGATTAAGGAGATAAATACAGAAAACGAGAACAAAGTTAGGTGTTTCATTAACTGGTTGACTTACATACGAGTACTCTACTCCCAGCTTCCCTGCGAAAGCTTCTTCCAGCAAACACAGAATGTGAAAACCACAGGGCATTTCTTTAAGTACTAGTCAGAGAAGCTGGCTAGCAGCACCTTGGGATGGACTGGGAAAGAGCTGGGAAGTGACTGTGTTTCAGATACAGAATAAAATAAGGAACAGGAAAATGTGAGGTGCAAACAAATCCTGTGGGTTTGAGGAAGTGTAGATATTTGGTAATGATGAAGGGTTGCAGGTTCAGATGACCAGTTTAGTACTGAGAATAATAAGCCCTGTGGCTTCCCGTTGCCTACTCAATACATATTTTCAGTTTTGCTATTTGAAAGAAATCATGAACTGAATAAATGACAAGTTTGTTTGCCTGCTACCTAATGTCAACTGATTCTGGAGTATCAATCAGGCAGGCTGCCCTCTAGCCCTGGCTTTACAGTGTTGTTGGAGAGTCAGACAGGGACTCAGTCTTGTCCTCATCCTCCACCTAATACACAGAGCTCTGTCTTCAATACAGACCTGATTCTCAACTTTTCTACAAAATTCTGCTTTAAAAATAGATGATTAATATGACATGCGGAGAAAAGAATATACAAAATAATTTTTCAAAGCTATTTTCATTAGTTCCCTGAACATCTGTCAAAAGAACTTCTCTAAGTTCTTGATCATTTAACAATGAAAATCACATAGATAATTTGTGAATCATATATTAAATGAAACTGAAGATCTCCTCCAAAAATCAGAAAATTAAAAATTTTGAAATTGCTGACGATGAAAAGAAATAATTAATATTTCAATAAGCAATTCTTAATAAAATGAGAAAATTTAAAAAATGCTTTCTATTAGCTGACTCTTCTGTTATTTAGTTACTTTTGCTGATCTGAAAATTAGATTACTATAAATTACCAATTATATCAAATTTTTATGACAGCTTGTTTTGTATAATTACATGCATCCTCTATTTAATTTTCCATTGAGGAATAAAAGTGTTTGGTGAAGATATCACTAACCTCTATGGGATAGCAGTTTGTCAAATGATTCACCCCATTTCACTGCTTCTTCAGGAGAGACTCTGTTCAAGAGAAACAAAATGTTTTATAATGCAGTGTGCACAAAGTCTGTTTACGAATCTGTTTGAACATATGCTTATATTACTGCTCTTTTCAGTTATATTTTCACAGGGTTTCCCTTTGATTTTTATATAATGGAAGTTCCATTTACATTAGACAATTCAAAAACATTCGTCAATTCTCTTCTGGAATTTGCCTATCGAGCAGTGGGGTAAAATGACATTACAGATTTTTCTCATGGATGTGTGAATTGTTTCATTTTTTTTTAAGGAAAAATTATTATTTTTAATTAAGTTGAAAAGTTCATGTGCACACACGCGCACACACACAGAAATGAGGTCAACTATCTTTTTTATTTATAAATTCATAAATAGATGAACTTAAACTAAGAATATCTTTCAAACTCTTTTTTTTTTAACTGCAATTTCCTTGAAGCTTTAACCACAATATGCTACAAAACCTTTTTCTTAACAGAGACAGGAAGTTTGACTAATGAACTTTCAGAGCAACAAGAAATAAAAGCCATCTTTAATACAAAAAAAATATTTTAGAGATGTTGAAAATATAGACAGTAGAATTTTTTTGTTTTTGCATCTTGATTGTCATATTTAAGTTTGGAAGAATTTGTATCAAACTAGTTAAAAGGCTATGCCACTTTATTTAAATTAAATACATAAAATTGTAAAACATCCCTATGTATATACTGCTTGCTGTTATATGAAGAACATTTTTTAAACTGCTGATAAAGATAAATAGCTCTTTTCTATGATAATATTGCATTGTGAAAACATATTAATGATATGTCATCAGTTTATAAAAAGTAAAATATGTCCTTTAAAACTGCCAGGCATATAAATTATAAAATGTAATTATTTAATTCAATTTATAAAAGTGGCTTAATTTTAGAGATATTTCAAATTTCTTGAAACAATTTCTCTATTTTTCCTTACACTACCATGTAATTTCCAATAAAATAGAAATCCCTAATTTCCTTTCTTAAAGCTTTAATTATGGAATAAACAAAATCCCCTCCACCCAATAATGAAAGTTATTCACCTCAATTCTTTGGACAAGGCCCCAAATCTACTGGAGTGTGTCTCTTCATGTGAGTCAAGTTTCTGCACAAGAAGACTTAGCCTATTTCTTTTTTCCTTGGCTCTGTAAAAAAGGCAGTAGCTTCAGGACAATTTAGATGACAGGCAAAAAATCTTCTTCTGACTACCAACAAATCTGGAATTAGTAAATACCCACTCATAGTCCTCCCTCCCCATACATGCTCTCAGAAATCCTATTTAATTACTATATTTCTGGAAGAATTAGGACAGCAGATATTAAATATGTTCCTCTTTTACCTGCATGACAGACACACATTTGAGATTATATTTCAATACAGATTATTCTAGTTCTTCTTGTATGGCTAATATTCCTACATCTTTTAAATTGAAAACTCTTTAGTTTTAACAGTTGTTTAATCCAAGTAAGAAAATATTTTTCTTTAATTGTGACAGAACAATCAATACATTTTCAACCAGATATTTAAAAAACAAATGCTAACAAATATTCATTAACCATGATTTTAAAAGTATAACATTGAAAATAATTTTTACCTGGTTTTGGCCTCTTTGCTTGCTGCTTCTTTTCCTAGACCACCATGTATTAACTTGAAAAAAGCTTTTTCTTTTGTTTCACACATATTTAATTGAGAAAACAAGACAAATGATGTTTCCATGTTCCCTCTAAAATGAAGAGATGTCTAGTATCTTACCATCCTTCTGTAGTTCACTGGTGAGTGCTAGTCTGTAGTTATGCATGGTAGAATACAAAACTGTCTCAACTCTTTGAGCAGGGCTTCCAAAACAGAAGAAAAGGGAAACAGACAAAAGAAAAAAAAAAGTTCAGAGCTGTGTTTCTACCTCTGTAAAAATGTAGAACTGAGGAACTGAAGTATAATTCCGTCCTGAGCTGTTGAGGGAAATGATACCACACATTTACAAAATGACGCTGGACTCCAAGATAAAGACGGTATTACCACAGAGTAACTTCTCTTTTGAGTTTGTGCAACCAGAATGATGCTTTAATAGACACAAATGGAGCTGTCATTTCCCACAGGAACTTTCTAAAGGGTTCTTTAATATATATTAAAAGCATTGTGGAAAGTGTAGGAAACATTTGAAGATATTTCCCCTCATCTTAAAAATGTAATTTTATTTATTTTTATTATATTGAGTTAATTAAATTACATTTAATTCACATAGTCTATGTAGTCTTAATTTTATTTGCTTAACATAGTACATCCAAATAAGACTGTGGATTCAAATTTTATGGTTGAAAGGGAGAACCGAAAGCATTTACTTCAAAAATTTTTAAACACAGGTCCACAGAATAATTTCTGATGTGTTTGAATTTTTACCACTAACTGATAGAATGGAAAACATATGGATTTTTTCCTTAAAACTCTTAATCTTTTTAATATAAAGGATTTTATATTAAAAATATAAAATTCATTGTAGTTAAAATATTCTTTTTAATGAAAAAAGCATAACTGAAAATGACAGTTTGTGTTGGTATGTTTTAAACCCTTATTCAAAAATAAATGTTGTCAACAGCAAGTTAGTTGATTCTCCTTCTTTCATTGTTGCATGAAATTTAAAGATCGAGAGATACTGATCTAATTCATGATAAGAAAAAAAGAAACCAAAGATCACAGACTTTAAGTGACTTATTCCTGCAAAGTCCCAAAGAAAGGTCAGTGAAAGATCTGGAATTAGCAAGCCTTTGATCACCAATAGCATGTGCTTTAGTTTTTCCAAGAGCTTTTGATCTTTAATGGTGAAAACTTTAATTCAATCAAAAAAATCACGTTGCATGATGTTTAGCAGTTAGCTCACTATAATAAAAAGGTACCAAGTTCTTTTAAAAAAAGTTTAAAAAATCAACTTACATAAATGCAAAATACAAAATTTTATTTTTAATCTTTTTGAATTATTGATTCATCAAGACAATTGTTATCAGCTATAATAACTAGGTGTTCAAAAACATTTACTGATTTGAAAATATAAAATATTTATTACAGAGTCATACATAACAGCCTCATGGTTCACTGACTTACTTTGAACATATTTTAAAATTCTTCACCTTGATTTAAAATTGGCTGTTAAAAATATTACATATGATGGCATTTTATGGCAAATTAGTAGAACTGTATGTTGAAAAGGCATATTCCATTTCCACCCTAATATATTTGTGTATTGATTAGCATTCCCTGGTTCCTATGTGAATGACAGAGAGAGAAAAATCATGGGAACATGAACATCACTAATCCTAAGGACTTTTTTTGAGTTACTATATCCACAGGAGTGAAATACATAAACTTAGTAAATTATTCTTTGTGATATCCATTGACCATGCTGAGGAGATAGCCCAGGGGTGGAGAGCTTACCTAGTGTGCTTTAGGCCCCAGGTTCAATCCCCAGAACCACACAAACACACCCAAAATGATCTGTTGAGATTTTGTACAAAATGTGCTATCTGCAGAATGATAGAACTATGAAGAAAGACATTTAGAAAATATAAGCACCAGTAAAACATTCAAAGGCCTGTGTAAAGGTCTAAAACAGAATCGGGAAAGATATGTGATTCTAACTCTATGTGGAAAGGAGGGAGCTGTGTTTCTACCTCTGTAAAAATGTAGAACTGAGGAACTGAAGTATAATTCCGTCCTGAGCTGAATGGTAACTTCAGCTAATAATTATTCTTTTAGGAATTATTATTTCTGGAATATGATAAAGCAGATTCTTTTTTAAATTTGCCTTAATATTTCCTTTCTAGCTCTCTTTTGATCTCTTTTGATTTGGTTTCACTTTCCTTCAGCCTAAAAGCCTTTCTTTATCATTTTCTGTTCTTAAGTTCTACTGACAACAGATATTCTCAGCTTTGGATTTTCTGAATTGTGTAGGTGTGCAAAGTGGAGGGAGCAAATCAAGCTCTTTAACATATGTATTAAGGATATAATCTTAATTATTTCCTGTCTTCTACTGGTTTTGAAATTAGTTTGTTCTTCCTGTTCTGGGGCCTTCAGTTATAACATTAGATTACTTAGGATCTTTCTTTTTGTTTCAACAAAGGTACTCAATGATATAACTTTTCTCTAAGTAAGTTATAGTATACTGTGCCTCATGTTGTACCAGAGATACTGATGTGTTATTTCTCTGTTCTCATTTGCTTTTAGGCACTTTTATTTTTACTCTGATTTCTTCTGTGATTCGTTGCTCATTCCAAAAATATTTAATCTCCAGATATCAAAATGATTTATGTTTTTTACCTTGTTATTTATTTCTAATTTCATTCCATTATGATCTGATATGATGCAAGGAATTATCTCTTTTTTTTATATTTGCTAAGACTTGCATTGTATCCTAAAATATGGTCTGTTTTAAAAAAGATTCCATGTGCAACTGAGAAGAAAGAGAATTGAGATGTAGATGGCTGGAATATTATCTATAGATATCTGTTAGTTCTATTTGATTAATTCTTTTTAGTTCTGAAGAATTTTAACTTATTTTATGTGGATGATCTACCTATCTATTGATAAGAGAGGGTGTGTTGAAATTACCCAGTGTTATTGTTTTAGGGGCTATTTGATTCTGTATTTTGAGTAGAGTTTGTTTTATGTCAGTAAGTGCACTGGCATTAGGATCATAACTATTTATAATCATTATATTCTTGGATGATTCCCTTAATCATTATGAAAGGACCATCTTTTTCTTTTATGGTTAATTTTGACTAGAAATTTACTTTATCAGATATAAGAGTAGCTACTCCTCCTTTCTTTTGGTCTCCATTAACATGGTATATCTTTTTCTATCCTTTCACCTTCATCCTATAGATGTCTTTGACTATAAGGTGACTCTTTTATGACAGTATATTTGAGTATTGTTTTTGATTCATTCTGTCAATCTATGTCTTTTGATTGGAGAGTTTAGACCGTCTACATTCTGTGGGATTATAGAGAGTCAATTTTTATTTTCTGCCATTTTGATTTATTTCTAAAGTGTGATTTATACTTGATTGTCCTTTAATTGCCTCTTTTCCAGTGAGATTCACCCATATACTGCCTCTGAAATTTATTTTTAATTTACTTTGTGTGAAATATCTCATATAGTATGTTTTGTAGTTTTAGCTTAGTGGTCATAAATAATTTTATTTTAATTTATCATAAAACATTTTTATTTGACTTGAATTCTGAAGAATAGTTTTGTCTAATACAGCAATGTTACTTGGAACCCATTATCTTTCATGGCTTGGGATTATTCCAAGGCCAACTGTCTTTTAGGGTCTGGGCTAAGAAATCAGTTGAAGTCCTAATTGGCTTACCTCAAAATATAGCTTGCTGTTTTTCTCTTGTGGTTTTAAAATTCTATCCTTTTCTATATATTAGGTGTTTTAATTATAATGTGTCCGAAGAGGATCAGTTTTGATCTTGTTTATTTAGGATTCTGAAAGCATCCAGTATTTGGATTTCCATATCATTCTTAAGATTTGGAAAATTTGGGGATATTACTTTGTTAGAAAGTTTGTAGTTTGTATTTAGGTCTTGAAATTCTGCTCATGGTCTCTTAACATCTTTTCTTTGTTGTCTTTGAAACCCGAGAATCTGTGGTCTAGTCTATTGGTGATGCTTTCAACTGATTATTTATTTATGTATTAAATCTTTTATTTCTAAGATTTCTGTTTGGTTCTTTTCAAGAATCTCTTTCTCTTTCTTGGAATGTTCTTTTACTTCCTATGTATAGTCTCTCTTAGTTTATTTCTTAGCTCTTCCTTTAATATTTTAATTATCAACTTTCTAACTTCTTTCTCTGGCATTTTCTCCACTGTGGTGTCAATGGGGTCAGTTGTAATGTGAACAATTTGGAGTGGCTTGTTCCATTGATTTTTCATATCACTAATATTCTTACCCAGCTTTGGGGATGATTCTCTCCTTTTCTTTTACATAAGAGACTTTTTAGTGAGCTGCTCTTTCTGTACCATGTGTCCTGGATTGGGTGATTATCTTGGTGTCAATATTTTCACTCAATTTGTACTTGCTAATATGTTCAGACTCTAACACCATATTGAGAGGATATAATAAATTCCAGTAATTATAGTCCCTTCAGAAAATGCCTTATAGTAATAAATATTTTTTAAAAAAACATACTAACAATGCTCTTTAGCAGCCCACTAATCTATTTTTGCTAGTCAGATTTTTGAAATAGGGTTTCTATTTTCTGGGTTTTCAGTTATTGTGCAGTTTTAAAATTCTCAACTCTGACGCAAAGTGGTCAAAGTATCACTATAGGGATCTCTCGTGGCTGGAAAGCTCAGGTGTACCTGCCTCTTCTAGGCATGTCAGATCATGTGCTGGGTTGAGAAGATGGGAATGTATTAGCCTATCCTCCACCCCTTCTAGATTTGGATCACTAGATTTGGTTTGAATTTAACTGTTCTCTGTCCCCAACCCCCCTGTCAGACTGGCTCCTAATCCCAGAGTTTGGATTGCCTGTTTTAAGTAAAATCTTTGTTCTTTTTGGTTTTGTAGACTCAATTTTCAGGTGCTGAATTGTTGTTCTGATTGCTCTTGGAGAACTGCTATGATAGTGTGGCTTCCTTTGAACATCTTATTCCATTCTGCAAAGGGACAGACTACATGGATTAAAAGAATTTTTAAAATATAGTTAATTAAGAGTAAAGAAGTTGGGATATGAAGGCAAAAGGATGGTTGGAATATTAAAAAAAAAGAAGAAGAATGTAGAGACAAGGTCATGGGTCATGCATGGAGGCCTAAAAGAGGGAAAAAGTTAAGAAGTAGAACAGAAATCTTTTTTTTCCCCTATTAGAGGGAAAGGTGAGAAAGGTAAGAATAATTAAACAAGCAAACAAGTTGAGTAGAATGACACCAATCCCCGCCCATAG